CACCAGGAATGAGAGAGGCAGCGGGTAAGTGGGTGAGGCCCCCAGGCGCCCCCCCCCGTAACTTAATTTGGTGTAGTGGTTAGGAGCGCGGACTCTAATCTGGGAGAACCGGGTTTGATTCCCCACTCCTCCACATGCAGCTGCTGGTGTGGCCTTGGGTCAGTTACAAGTTCCTTTGGAGCTGTTCTCTCAAGAGCAGTCCTGGAAAGAGCTCTCTCAGTCCCATCTACCTCACAGGGTGTCTGTTGTGGGGAGGGGGAGGGAAAGGAGATTGTAAGCCACTCTGAGACTCCTTCGGGCAGTGAAGGGTGGGGTATAAATCCAATTTCTTCTTCTTTTCCCCTTCCTCCTCCTCATGGAATTGATTGCGAGTGCACAGGTTGTTTCCATCTCCTCCTACTCTGCCCTCCTCGGAGCAGCAAAGGGATGGCTTCCCTTCCTAGCATGTGTGCCCTTCCAACCTGGGGCCCTGCCTTGAGGGGCTTGCTATCGAAGGCTGTGGAACAGTGGAAAGTGGTGGCAGGGAGAAACCTGTATTTGTTCCAGCTATCAGGTCCTTTAAGCAGTTTTGGTGGGTGGTGGTGGCTGAAGCTGCGTCAAAGGCTAAAAAGTGAGCTTTTTTGAGGGGAGGGGAGAAAGAGAGAGAGGCGGCATCATGCCGGTGTTTATGGGTAGAATGGGGGCAGCGAGGAGGCATTTGTGGGAGCAGCTGAGTCTGATGGAGCTGGATTGGAAGTCAGAGGCAGGGGATGGATCAACATAAGGTAGCACGGTAGTAAGGGTGGGGGGTTGAGGCCAGAGAAGGCTTTGGGGCTCAGGGCTGGGAGCTTGTGTTGGATCTGAGAGAGGTCAGGAAGCCAGAGTGCGGCTTTGAAGAGAGGTGCCACATAGAGCAATCTTCTTGAGAGCCAGTTTGGTGTAGTGGTTAAGTGTGCGGACTCTTATCTGGGAGAACTGGGTTTGATTCCCCACTCCTCCACTTGCAGCTGCTGGATGACCTTGGGCAAGCCATAGTTCTGTCAGAGCT